TAAGGAAATCAGCAAGAACACATGATCAGTCCATTAAGTTCTACCACTCTGCCTGCCCTGCAACTCTGAAGCATTGCTTTCATTTTAACATATTCATATTTTAAACACAGATGCATTGCTTTTGACCAGGACGCCTACACATAAAACAAGCTGTTACATTCTAGAGCAACAAGTCAGACCAGTATCAAACTTTTTGTTTCAGAGCAGGGGTTAAAAATTGTATTTACCACAATGGGGTTTAATTGATCCTAATTAATTGTGGAAGGCTTATGAAACAGACACTGTTAAAACATGTGGATGAGAAGAGATTTTGAGGGTTTAGGAAACACATGGATGCATTTGAATGCACTCATGTAATGTGCACAATATTACAGAACTTCAAAATCATTAGATTACTTTTGCCATCATCGAATTTGCACATAATCTATACAAACAACAACAAAACACAAATAATTTAATAAACACTGTAATCTTTATAAAATATGAAAATAAATATCAATTTTTCATACTGTACATTATATCTAAATTCACAAGAAGCATTTCAAATGATTAATGTAGAGGCTGGGTGTCCACTTTGGTGGCTGGACAAAAAAAAAATGGCTTGACTCTCACAGTCCAAAAGATTCCATTGTACACAGTTTCACTTATTACAATTAAAAATGTAAATACAAAGTCAAAAAAAACAAAATCTCAATAAAGTAAAGGATTGCAAAGATCTGGAATTCATAGCTGATATTAAAAATGTTATCACTAGTAACTTCTTACTAAATTCAGAAAGCAACACAGAGGTTTTCATTATTGGACCAAAAACCTCCACACGAAAAAAAAAAAAAAAACAGAAAAACCAAAACAAAAAACAGAATACCTCTTAACTCTAGATGGATCTGTTCTGTCGAGTCTTCGTTTTCAATCAAGAATCCAGGTGTGCTAATTGATAGTGATCTGTCATCTGAAGGTCACATTTCGAGCATTTGTAAAATTGTGTTTTTCTGCTGAGTTAAAAACAACCCAGCTCTAGGTGAAATATAGACAAACTTCTGGGTAGTTTTATTTAACACAACTATTGCTATAGTTATTTCTTGCTTAAAATGAACCCAAAATAGGTTGCAAATTAACATTTATTAATATGTTCAATAACATATTAACATATTCATGAACATTAATAAAAAAATTATTAACATTTAATAAGTTGAATAAATAATAAACATTTTATAAATTGCTTATTAATAAATGTTCACCTTTTGATTATCTTTAATGCCTCTAGTACAGGGGTGTCTAAACTCGTTCCTGGAGGGCCACTGTCCTGCAGAGTTTAGCTCCAACCCTAATTACCTGAACCAGCTAATCAACATAATTTAAACTTTAAATATTTGCTGATTACTCAAGAAGTCCTGAATGGTTTAGCTCATCAGTGCTTGAGCAAGTTCCTACCGCGTTATAGACCTTCACGTCTGTTGCATTCTTAATATTTTGGCCAGTTGATAATTACTAGAATATAAAAAAGTTGACTGTTCCTTGACTTCCTGTTTGTTGCTGCCGTGTGTTTTGAGTTTGAGCTCCGTCAAGTCTCATGGTGCAATTCCTTATCGTCTATTTTTTATCTTAAACTCAATTTTATACACCATAATTTTCGTTTCTATAACGTGTGAATATATCCCCAATCGTATTCTACAACAAAAACAATCAGAGCGCCTTGTTATCACTAGTTTTATTTTGATTTCCCGAGTACGCTATTAGCATATAGCCCGTTAGCATCGCCAACGTGGTTGCCGCTAATTTAGCTTACATTGCTAATACTATTCACACACATTACCATTATTTTACTCACTGTTACTTGCTTTAAATGGCGGATGTGTGTCTACCTTTGAGGGCAGGTGAGGACACGTTCGAGCTGCATTCGGTGCAGGTCAAGCTGGAGGCCGTGGAGAAGCAGATCCGCAACCTGGTGGAGAGGCAGACCCAGCTGAGAGAGCAGAGAGCCGCGCTGGAATCATCCCAGGCTGACGCTCACAAGTCCGAGGTAAGTATACAGCGCGCTGCTAATTCTCCCACCACCTCTACTCCGTGTGTTTCTCTGCACAGGACCGGTGCACCCAGGACGCGATCTTCCCAGATGTCCTTCACTCCGGCGCCGGGACACCACAGACCCTGGGTGCAGCCGCAGTGGAAGACGCGAGCCAGGCCCTGGGTGACGACCTCTCCCCCTCCGCCGCCTCCGGTCTTCGAGATCTCCACCCGGAACCGCTTCGCTCCCCTCCGCGAGACGGAACGCGACGCTGTGATCATCGGAGACTCCATCGTCCGGCACGTCCGTGCTACGTTAGCTGAAGGTAAAGTGCACACTCACTGTTTCCCTGGTGCTCATGTTCTCGATGTTTCTGCGCAGATACCCGCGATCCTGAAGGGCGACGAGAGCACCGGAGCGGTCGTGCTTCACGCGGGGGTTAACGACACCAAGCTGCGGCAGACGGAGACACTGAAGAGGGACTTCAGGAGCCTGATCGAGACGGTGCGCAGCACATCG